CGCCAACATGATCAAGGACGAGCTGTCGCTGAATGGCATGATGTCCACAACGTCGGACAGATTCTGGCGAGCCATTTCGGTCGCCGGAGGCGGTCACCCCTACTCTATGAAGTCTGGAACCTCTTTGGTCCACGCTGTCATGGAAAAGTATTTGTTCAGAGAAAAGATGCTCGCTTCTTGCTTTATGGCACCGGATCCCTTGACCGAAGCGAATAGCCTCCATGATCCCAACTTGGAACACGTGTTGCAGGACAAAGAGAGGTTGTATCAGTACTTGTTCGGAGAGTCCGTGAGAGGAAGCCATGCTTATCAATCCACTGCGGAGCCTTCAGGTGAGAATGAGTCTGAAAGGAGGAAGAGGGAGAAGGTAAGGAGAGAGAATAAGATGCCATGGATGGATGAGTACTGGGGAGTCCTTCAGCCAGAACCAATATACTCAAGGACTCAAAGGTGGTATGTCATTGATGACTTTAAGGAGGGTGAGGAGATTTGCTGCGACTACTGTCTGGTATGCAATCCCATAGACTCCGAGTTGAAAGACGATTGCTATGCGGAATGCATCAACGGAGCAGCAAACAGATGCCGTGGGATGTCCGCAGAAGACTATGTCCAGAAGCGATTTCATGCATGTGCACGGTTGCTTCACAACTTCGGCATGGGGCAGACGGTATCTTCTCCCACCATCGCAATCTCGGAGATGAACCCGCACGATGACTTGATGAAGTTTTTATACGAGGCGATGATCATCTTCAATGAGAATCCAGGTTTCCAGAAGGAGATTTCGTTCTTCGGGGGGATCAGGTTGTCATCAACAATGACGGAGAACTTCTTCAAAACGAGGAGAGGACCCAGCATCCATGTGGAAAAGCAGATAATCGGCAACGCCAAGTACTACCAGGGATCCTATGACCTTGGCAACGTATGCTACACCAAATACCTCAAGACCATACTGGAACCCGATGTATTCCGCACTATATTCGGAAATGATCCCACGGAGGAACGGGTAGGTGACATGGTGGAAGCGTTGCTGGGCATGTTCGAAATTGCTCAACTCTTCAGGCACCTGTTCAGGGGATGGGGTGACATCGAAGCTTTGAGGACGGGATTAGAGGAATCCATCAAACGAGTCACTGCATCGCTATACGACAGGACAACGTATGAGAACCGAAAGCGATCGATGATCAGAACCATGGACCCGCACTCTGATGAGGCGGCAAACGTGGCGCTGATTCTCGTTCGCATGAGGACTATGCCGCCTCCTGAATTCGACATCGACCACTTCTTCGAGATTGGAAAGGAGCCAGAGCAGGGACCAGAAGCCACTGGCGAGCCCGAGGCCGAAGGTGCCGATATGGAGACCGATGGTGTCGATATGGAGACTGATGGCACACAGGAGAAGGAGGAGCAAGATGTTGACATGTCCGACCCGAAAGCATCAATACTGCACGCCATCGACGAATTTGAGAAGAAGATAGGGCGGGCAGAATTCTGCATACACTGCATGGAATCGGGGCACACCACTCTCAATTGCAAGAAGACCCTCTCATCCTCACCTACGGTCACCTCGGTGTTGAGTGATTGGAAGAAGAGAGTGAAGGGAGAGGTTGCGCCCGATGATGTACCATCAGGACATCCAACCGAGCAGCCTAAGAAGAAGAAGCAGAGAGCGTCGCCCACTCCAGAAAGAAAGGTCGACAGCGAGTTCAAGCGCAAAGAAATGTTGAAAGCAAGAGTCGTGACAATGTTTGACCATGACGGATTCACCTTGATCGAAAGTGCTGATGGAGTCGAAGGAGGACCACATTCCTACAATGGGCGGAAGCTTGTGGAAGCAGGCCCTAAGGATATGAGACAGGTGTATGAGTTTGTCGAGAAGGCATTTGTGCACTCCAGCTCCCTCACACCAAAGGCATGTCATCACTTCTACCCCCTACCAACACGGAGGGAGAAGGGATACAAGCCGATCGACCCCATGACGACGGTCGGGAAAGTTGAACTAGTACCGATCAACGGAGTCACTTTCGCTGCAACGAACTCCGACTACGGCAACCACAAGTATCCGACTCCAGACTGTCGAGTACCTGAGTACAGCCAAGCGAGCCAGGCCCTGAGTCGTCGATTGGGAGCGAAGTTGAGACATCGAATTGGACGTCAGTTCAGGACAGGAGGAAGACTCGCACCAATCAAATGCGATGAAGGTGCATGGGTGTCATGGGAAGACCTGCTAGGTGACAATACAGTTTGGGAAGACGGTTATCACTATGGCAACATAGATATTGTGACCAAGAAGGCACGTTTGGAGAAGTTCTTCGACCAGAACTATGAGTGTTTCCGCATTACCAAGAGGGTCAGATTCCAAATGTTGGCGGTCCGCGTCCATCCTGATGAACTCAATGAGCCTGATGACCCGACGGAGAAGGGATGGATCAACGAACTCAAAGACATGGGAATCTCCAAAGGAAGACTCCACCATAGCGATGGATGGTGCTTTCCCGTGGCTGTGAGAGCAACCTCGGCACATTCAACGGACGGCGGAGGTTATGACGTTACCATTGACATCGATCACATTGGATCGAGAATGACCAACGACATGGCCCTATCTATGGTGACTGCATTTCACGCAACCAATCTCGGAGCGCTGACTTCAATCATGCGACGAGGGCTGGTGCCGGGAGGTCTCGGTTCATCGGGAAGGGATTCTATTCACTTCACATGTTTTCCGCCATGGGCCTGGGAGCAGGGCTACAAGGGCAAACCTTGGCTGGGTCGCAAAGTCGCATTGAGTGATCGCCCAGTGGTTCTCTACATTCCGGTGTGGAAGCTGCAGGAGTACGGACTTCTCATTTCAGCGACTGGCTCTCTACTGGTTGAGAACGTCGTTCCCTTCGATGAGGTTAAAGGGGCATGGTTGCAATGCGACAATGCGGAACCCGGGCAGCATGAGAAGATCGAATGGATCCGGTTACTCAATGGAGAACCCGACCCTGGAAGCTACCTTGTTCTGGAGTCCAAATACGGAAACCCGATCATGATTCCACGCTTTCAAAAGCTTGAGAGCTTGGCGGTTGAGGTTCTGGATGATACCTACTCCGAGGACGACGCCAAAATCTCAAAGATGTTGGGTATGATCGAGGAGAGTGGTGTCTACCCAGAGCATAACAATACCGAGTGGCAGGAACTCTTCGAGGAGATCGTGTATCGCCGAGCGATGAAAGACTACGATTCAAGGCCGTGTCCCAACTGTCTTGGCGAAGTCGATGTGCGATTGACGATATGTCCACACTGCGTAGCAGTTTTGATCGCGAATGGGAAGCTCACACATGTGGTACCCAAGGAGACAAGGGACCGTAGTCAACGATCACCTCCGAAAGATGTACCAGCCAGTTCTTCCGGTGAAACAACCTCTGCTGCAGGTGCAAACATTGATGAAGTCATCAAGAAAGCACGCAAGACAGCCGAAGAGGTCATTGATATCGAGGAATCCGAAGGAGAGGAAGAGGAGGAAGTTCCTATCATTTTGAAGGAACGACCGGACGAAGCTGAAGGCGAACCTGAGTATCGGGAGGTCCCTCAAGATGGATACGGGAATGAACTTCCGAAGCCTTTCCCCTTCGCAATTGATGAACTGCCGCAAGAAGCTGCGATCCCCATCGACCACAACTTTGCCGTCGCACAGCAATTTGACTTGAGGTTGATGAAGCTGATCAAAAGCTTGGCCAACGCAACATTCGACATCAACTGCTTCGAGAATCGGGAAGATGTACTACGAATGTTCGACGATGGACAGCGGCACGACACTCCGTACAACAGATGGCCGATAGTACCGAATGATCCGGATACTGGGTTTCCAAGACGTATCCAGAGAGCCGAGGTCATAGGCATGAGCAGATGGACCAACGACACGTTTGCAGCAGAAGCGTGGCAGATCTATGAATTCCACGCCCACGTTGTTCATCCGATGATGATCACTGCAATCCGCTGCGGGCTCAGCCACAAGTACCTCAAAGAGGTCGGCAGCACTCAGCGTAGCATGAGTGATCCAAAGGCTCGAAAGTCTGAGACCCAGGACGAGATCATCGAGAAATTGGCATTCATCTCAAACTTCATCAGACGCTTGATCAAGAAGACCTTCGGAGCGAGCCGATATAGTTACTACCAGAAACCAGATGACGAAAGTGCCGCTCCATACAAATTCATCGACATTAGTCCTGCCATCAAGTCGGAGAGGAAGAATGTCACGAAGGAGATCCTCGTTGCATGCCGCTACTATGGCATAGAGGTATCCGATGTCCAGGAAAGGAAATTGAAGCTCTTCGAGGACCAGATCCGAGCGGGAAACCCAAGGAACGTTGAGCTCATCAAGGACTACATTGGCTTTGTCGGCGCTGACTACATGCGACAACTCACGAATGGTTGAGCATTGGGGTCATGCCGACATACCACTGCCGGTACTTCATGTACTGAGGGATCTCGGGTAATTCATGATGACCGTTTTGGCATCATGGGAGTGAGATAGGATTACGTATCACACCATTGGTAATCGCATGATACCATAGGTAGGTGCACGTTTTCCGCTTGTAGCTCCATTGCCTGTTTGATCCAAATTTCAAGCGAATGCAAGATATTTTGCTAATTCAGTTCAATAGGACATACTGGTTGACCTCCAATGCACTTTTGAGAACGTGGTTCGTTCTCCGGTCTTTACATCCACTCATCTCCCTTCCCCGTCGAAGTACGGATGTGGGGGGTGTCAATAGAGATGGGGTCCCAGTATAGTCGCTATACAGGTACATGCCATATACCTTTGGCTCAAGTGCCCAACCAGGTAAAAAGGAGCTTTAGCGCGCGAGCTTCATGTTGACCTAAGAGCTAGAACGGGGCCAGGGCACACCTTCCATCCGTTCGCATAGTATTTAGTATTACTATTAAATGGAAGCAATTGTTTTTGTTTTCTTTTTTCATTTTTGTTGAACATCTCGTTGAGACGAACGTCTCGCCAGGATATTGCTGAAGAAGCTGCGAGGCACTTTCAGTCTCCAGAGGTGAGATGACGATCTCGAAAGAGATGTCCAGACGAAGAGTTCTTCAGAAGTATATATACAGTATATATTTGTTTTCAATGAGATGTAGTGTTGTCTTGGTTTAATCTATAACTGTGAATCTATATATTTGTCAGAAGTAGTAGTAAGGATGCTCCTAGTACTACGGCCAGGAGCCCCTAGTAGCGTCCTTGCTCCT